CTTCCATCAGTGTGAACCTTCCATCAGTGTGAACCTTCCATCAGTGTGAACATTCCTTTAGTGTGAACCTTCCATCACTGTGAACATTCCACCAGTGTGAACTTCCATCAGTGTGAACCTTCCACCAGTGTGAACCTTCCATAAGTAAACACAGTCTAAGGTGCTACACTGGGCTTTTCCAAACTTATTAGAATAAAGACAAAAATAAAAAATAACTGGATGGTCTGTTCCTCACATGGACACGTATAGGTGCACAGAAGCACTATGAAGACAAGGTCCTTAACAGAGTCCCTCACAGTCCTCTGACATCCTCTCCAGCTTCACCTCCTGCCACCAAGATACTCAAAGATCACTCAGGATCTATCACGCCCTGTTGACGAAGGGACCATGAGACCTGACGCCCTCCCTTGGACTGCCTGCTCACGTACCCGCTCCTGAAGTCATTGCAGCGGGATGTTGTCTCCCTGTCTTCTGAAGAGTAGTTTCTGGAGCCTCTGCCTTGGGCCTGGTGCCTAGTTATGGTGCACTTACAGCATCTTGAATGTGTCTCCACCAGAATGCTTAAACTGCATGGTGTTGAAATGACCATTGCCTATCCATTTCTCTGCAGTCTGAGATTCTTGAGTTCCCTTTACCACTCCACATATGGCACACAGCACCCACCAAACACAGGCTCAGAGAAGGAAAAACAAGACAATGGCACTCTCATCCTTGTCGTGTAATTGAGTATGAGGGAGAAAGACCCAATAAGAGGTGGCCTATATTTAGCATTTATTTTGACTTCAGTTCATTCACAGAATCCAGAATGTTCTAAACAGGTCCTAACACTTCAGAGAAAAATCTAGACCCTCTTAGCTTTGAGGGCCAGGTATGGAGCCAAGACAAAAACTAAAATGAGTTTATATTTGTGACCAAGGACAAAGCTGATAGGTATGAACTATATAAACTAGTGAAGAGCCCACCACGTCCCGCTGATTCACTCCTATTTACCTTAGAGATGGGTGCTGGACAGAGCCTAGGGTAAGGAGCTGGTAGGGAAGGGGAAGAAACATGCCATATGGATGTTCATAGCACTATTATTTGTAATAGCCAGAAACTGGATTCATTTCACAGTCCCCAACAGAAAAGTGTCTAAACACTCTGTGGCGTCTTTACAGAAGTCGATTCCATAAAGCATAGATGAGCCACACGCTCCGTGAATGAGGCCTGCACAGGAGAGTGCACATGTGTGGATGAACATTCAGGAAGCTCTGGGACAGGCCAGACACATAGAGTGGAAGGGAAGTCACTGTAGCAGCAGACAGCTCTGGAGAAGAGCATGAGGAGACCTTCCCGGGCAACAGTGGTAATAGTCTACGTCACACACAGTATGTGTTTGTCCAAACGGCACATTCAGAGACTGAGGAGATGGTTCAGTGGGCAAGCTCTCAGCTACATAATCTTGAGGGTCTAAGTTTGGATCCCCAGGACCCACATCAAAAGCCAGGTACCGCGGTGCATGCCTGTAACTCTTTGCTCTTTGACATTTTTGTAATATCATAATGACAGTAAATTACATTTTGAATCTCCTATCCCAGGGTCACCAGGTCACCAGGGTCACCTATCTCAGGGCCGCTGAGTGAAGAGCAAACTTCCCAATGTCTTGTTAATCTTGCCAGCTGACTTTCTATCCAGGTTGTGGGGGTGCCTAGGCCTTAGCAGAACATAGCTCAATGTAGTACAGTTTTGAGAATCCATACCCTACTCCCAACTGTTTTCTCAACTATCATAAATTGATGTCTGAAATTTTGGCAAGTTGGTACGTTTGGAATGGGAAAATAACAAAACAACATTTGAATGTTTTTTATAGAAAACATGCCAGGTCAAGAACAGACCGTTAGAGGACAATGCCTTCACCACTCTGGATGAAACCAAGGAGGGGAACTACCTGTGATCAGGGTGAGTCCAAATAGACTTACAAGGGAAAATCCAGGCTACCCAGGCAAATTTGAATTTTGGAGAAATGGGGAGTATATTTAGGTGTACGTGTGTCCCTGCGATCGCCTGGAACAGACTGGCGGCGATGCCTGTCTGTCTCATTCAGATGTTAGCAGGCATCCTGAGTTGGTATCGCTGGCATGCTTGTTTGCCTGCGTTGTTGAACCTCAATGAAGGTGCTATTCCATGGGAACACAGACGTGATATCTTGGTGAAAAGTTCCTCGTACCTGGGAAAGCATGAAGACTCTTCTTGAGAATAATTTGTGTGAAAACGATGATAAGGTGTGACAGAAATGGAATTTTCAAATCACGAGTCATTCAAATAAGGCAGCCCTGCTTTTTGCTTTGCTTTTCTTTTTTCCTTTTTTTTTTTTTAAGACTTATGTGTGATTCTTCCCAGTCTTTACGGCTCGCTACTGTGCCCAGTTTAAAACCTGGGTACCTCTATAGACTGTGTCAGCAAGTGAGAATGGAGCCTTTCTGAGATACGGACATGAAGACAATGGTCTCTGTGTGCAACTTTGCCTATGACTGGCAAGAATGTCTGGGAATCGATGCATCGCTGTCATAAAACGTAGACAACATAGACAAGAAGAGGTTTAGCTGAGCCCAATTCTAACCAAACGCCTCCACCCTATTTAACACAGGGGCAAGAGGATGCCTCCCACATTTGAGAACCAAAAGTGAGCTAGAACCTGGGAGTGCTCACGAGTCTGAGAATTCTCATGTTATATTTTGCAACTTTATGTAAAATGGCCACTGATTTAAAAATGAAGTTTTTGTTAAGTTGCTGACTGAGTCTGTCTCCCAGAAAGAGGAGTAAGAAGCAGGGACAGCAGAAATCTCTCTACTTGAGCCTTCATCTTCTGTGTGGGAAAGGTTGGCTATTTCCTACTTCAGACTTGAGAGTTAAGTCAGGTGATGCTTGGGGAAGCCTCTGGGGTCATAAGCAGACCAGGAAGATCTTGCTTCTTGCTCCTTCTCACAAACAGGTCACTGCAGAGGAAATCTGAAGGGTTGAGAGTTGCAGAAAATTACTGCCAGATAAAAGCTGACCTTCAGAGCCCACCCGGGCAAACTCTTCCAGACTCCTACTGCACAGCCCCAGTGGGCCAAAGGAGAGTCTGAGTCTCTATCAGCTTCTCAAATCTTCCCTACACACAAACTGAAGTCACGCCTAAGGAAACAAAAGCGTTTACCTAAATGCTGTCTAATGTCCCTATATACATCAACATACTTCTCCCTCCAAATTTTCTACAAATATGGTAAATTAATTTGCCCCCTTCTTTATAAAACAGGGTCTTGGGCTCTTTTGCCTTCTCCACTAGAGCTCACTCTTCATTGATGCTTGCGGTTTTTTTTTTTTTAAAAACACCATGCTTTAACTTCTCTTGCTATAACCCCTACACAGCGTTTTCTCTGATTGTTGTAACAGTTTGCGCTAGGCAGTGGCAGCAGGATTAATTGTGTCTTCAGTCATTATCTTGTCCTTGATGTTTTGGGTTTTTTTTTTTCCTTCCCCAGACTTGTGGCCTCTGAGATTTTTCATAACAGCCTGGGAGCTAAAAAGACATCTTCTTCACAATAGCACCAACTCACGCTCTGTAGACCCAACAATGGATGTTTATTGCGCCTTACAAAACTAATTACCTTCAGATTACAGGTTTTATTCAAAATCGGTCCAATCTCATCCGAAGCCGCCAGTGGACATTGGCGGATTCTTTACAAGACAGCTCTCTATGGAGAACGATTGTAGCATTTCTTTGTGTGTACAAGAAAAGAAAGGGAGATGGATTCGTATTAAACTAAAAAATAAAACCTTTAGGTTTTAATGTAACAAGAAGGGTTTAGTCACTGTATAGAATAGGAGTTGAAAGCCTGCTACTGGGAGACTCCATTTTGTCTCAGGGAGCCCTGGCCTCGCTCCAACACGGGACTGAGCCGCTGCACCAGGTTAATGCGTATCAACCCTCTGCGCTGAGCTGAGCTCTGGTTTACGATGACCCGTTTGCTTAGCCATAACAGGACGTTTATGTATTCCCTTAGCGCTGCCATCAACTGAAAAGATAAAGCATCCCGGCTGCTCTCCGCATTACTGGAGCATGTAGTCCTTGAGATAGGAAACTAAGTAACTTGTTTCAAACTTCTGTTTTACAAATGAAAACAACCATCTGAATACCAAGCATTAAATGCTTTAGAGCGAGATATTGTGCAATGAGTTCCATTTGTATTCTGTTATTGATCATTACGGTATCTCTATGTGATATTTCTATTAGCCCCTTCTATAGATAAGCCAACTGAAGAATTTAACTCATTTTTTTTTCCAAGTTTCTAGAGCAAGTGGCATAACCCGGATTCAGATCCACAATTTTAAAACCTAGCAAGCAAGTGGCTACATTTTTTTATTACGGACATATTCAATCGTATTACACAATCAATATATTTGATGTCATTTGATAACTGTTTTATTTCTATCCCGTAGAAATATAGTGCTAAAGAATATTTCAGCCTCCTTAGATACTTAAGTCCTTTGATTTTATTACATTAGTACAACAATTTTCAAAATGTGGCTCATTCCACCTTTGGGGTTGAACAATTTTTTTACAGGGGGTTGCCTAAGACCATCAGAAAACACAAACATTTACACTACAGTTAACAGGCAAAATTCAAGCTATGAAGTAGCAACGAAAATAATGTTATGATTGGAGGGTCATCACAACGTGAGGAACTGTGTGTGGTAAGTGGTTGCAGCATTAGGAAGGTTGAGAAGCACTGCCCTAGCAAAAAAGAAATTCATGTGTAATCCATCTCACTTTAAAAAAAACCAAAAAACAGAAAACAGGACTAGCAAGATAGCTCCCTCAGCTTCCTACGTGAGCACGGACCCCAAGCTCAACCCCTGGAAGCCATGGAAAAGAAGTACATAGTGGTGCATGCTAGCAGTTGTAGTATCTGACAGGCAGGGACAGGGCTCCTGAGGCTCATGGGTCAACCAGCCTAGTATAAAGAGCAAGCCCCAGGTCCCAGGAAAAGACATGCCTCTGAAGGCAAGATGGATGACTGTTCCGTGCCACAACACCCAAGGTTGATCTCTGACCTCCACACATACAGACATGCACCAACACACACACACAGACTAAATTTTACTGATACACAGCTCGGGTGGTCTTGTCGGTTCCCCACTCACTGCACTGTGAGTCGAGACAAATTCTACTGTAGGCTTAGCAGTCTAGAACATGTGTTTGTCATGAGATAATCTTCAGATGGTTCAATGTTATCGAATGATCAATACTAAAGATTGAGACACATGAAAAGGTGCCACTCAGATGAAAATCATTATTGAAGTTTGTCACCTTTCACAGACTTTTCTACCCTTTCAATGAGATCTTTTAACATCTATTGAGATGGTGTTATGGTTTGGACATGGCTCATGGATATAAAACTTGGTTCCCAGTTAGTGGAGTTAGTGAGGTTGTGGAAACTTTTGGGTTTTACTCTTGATTAGAAGTCGGTCCTGGGGTTCAGCTCCCAGGCCCAGTCTTTGTGTACTGATTCACAATTGATATGGAAGGTGATGTATACTGTGAATATGTTTTATAGCAATTGGTTAATAAAGAAGCTGCTTTCAGCCAATGGCTTAACAGTGTAAAGCCAGGCTGAAAAAGATATTTAGAGAGAGTGGGCAGAGTCAGGGAGAAGCCAGGCCACTGGATGCACTGGAACCTTGCTGGCAAGTCACAGCCATGTGGCAATACACAGATTAATAGAAATGGGTTTATTTAAAATCTAAGAGCTAGCTAGCAATATGCTTAAGTGATTGGCCAAGCAGTAATTTAAATCATATAGTTTCTGTGTGATTATTTCTAATCAAGGAGGTCAGGAAATGTATTGTTTTCTTAAGCTGATCCAAAATGAGCCCTTCCCCCTCAGATTTTTCAAATCAGATATATTGTCATAGCAATGAGGAAAGAACAGGTACAGAAGGGAACTCTTAGGATGGTCACATTAGTTACCACTCAAATATGTTCATGCAAGATATTAACAGAAATTAGTTTTCAGAGCCCTGGAATCACAACCCTTTGCATTAATTGTTACCCCAGATAAAAACTGGACTCTAGCCCTAAGCTAGTTTGTGATAAACAGTTTTGAGGTTCTTTTAACGGGAAATTATGCAGATTCTGTTCATGTCCCGACCCTTCTTAAGCTCTCCAGTTACAAGCTTCTGTGGGCTTTTCTCTTTCTTCAGCATTTCTTCACAACCCCGTGCTGGATGAATTGGTCCCAGCAACCTACTGGTGTAGATGAATGGCATAGTAAAGGAATTTGCAATGGGCTTGTCCACTTGGGCAATGAACATCTGGGGAGGACTTTAGGTACTCTGATTCCAAATAAGAAGATTTGGGGGTTATTAGTCAGTATCTACCCACATTTTACATTATTCCTCTTGGGATCAATCTGTGGTTTGCAGGCTGAGTTAATATCTGCCACCACCCATTAAGACTACACAAGAGGAAAAATGCCTTTGCCTTCAATATCTCAATGAAAACCCAAAATCAAGGGAATTTACACAAAGTGTAAGTGTTCCTTAATCAGCCTTCATTCTAGAAGTAAGAAACCTGCTAATAATAAAAGCAAATTTAATGGATCCCAGGCCAATGTTCTGCAGCCCTTAAGCAGGTGTCAGCGAAAGCAGATGTCCCCTATATATAGTTTACATTCCTACCATGAACATGTGAGATCTACATATAGGCTTGCAGATCTTCTAAGAGAGGACATTCCCACTAAGAAGTAAGTATTAAAAAAATTTCAAATGCAAGAGATAAAATATGAATTTAAGGGAGAAGAGGAATGTTAATTTAATCTTATTTCCATTTGATTTTTATTGACTTTTTTATTCATTATGTTCTGATGATGCTTTTTTCTTACCCGACTCCTTTTGAATCCTCCCCACATACCCACTGAACAAAATCCATATCCTTTCTTTCTCTATCTTTTTTGTTTCTTTTTTGTCTTCTCAAGACAAGATTTCTCTGTATAGCCCTAACTGTCCTGGAACTAGTTCTGTAGACCAGGCTGGCCTCAAACTCACAGAAAACTGCCTTTGTCTGCCTTCCAAGTGTTGGGATTAAAGGCATGCACCACCACCACCCAGCTCTGTATCTCTTTAAAACAACAACAGCAACAAAACAAGAAATACACACAAAAACAGAAACCAAAATATACAAGTAAAAGACAATTAGACAAAAAAAAAGGCTCAAAAAGCTATATGTGACAAAAAAAATCTACAAAAAAGTGCCATTGAGTTCCTTTTGTGTTGGCCATCAACTGCTGGTCGTGGAGCCTACCCTGAAATGTGGTTGCTATTCCCAGTAAGACTCCATTGGAATAAACTTTTTTTTCTTTGTAAGTGGGTATCAATTGTAGATAGTTTCTGGGTTAAGGGTGGGAGCCCGTATCCACTTCTCCTCTCAGCACTGCGACCTCATCTGACTTGAACACATGCAGTCTCTGTGAGTTCATATGTGCACCAGTGTTGTGTTCAGAAGACACTGTTTCCTGGGAGTCATTTATCCCTTCTACCTTTCACAATCCTTCTGCCCTTCACCTCCTCTTCGGAACAAATCCCTGAGCTCCAAGAAGAGGGACTCTATGACGACATCCCATGTAAGCCTAAGGGCTTCGAAGTCTCTCACTGTCTGTACATTGTCCGGTTATGGGTCTCTGTGTCAGTTCCCATATGTTGCAGTAAGAAGCTTCTCTGATGTGGATAAGCAATGTAGACAAAGCCCAAGCCAAATAATTACACAGAACAACCTTGTTTAGCTAATGGCTTAGGTATATTCCTAGCTAGCTCCTATATCTTAAATTAACCCATTTCTATTGATCTGTGTATTGCCTGGTTTACCGGAAAGGTTCTGGGCATCTTTCTCCTTAGGCAGCTACATGGCATCTCTCTGACTTTGCCTACTCTCTCTATATATATTTCTGTTCTGATTTCTCACCAGGCTTTACTCTGCTAAGCCATTGACCAAAATAACTTCTTTATTAACCAATGGTAATAAAACATATTCATAGCATACAGAGGGGAATCCCACATCAGGCTAGATGAATCAAAGCCTGGTGAGTCTTCTGACATGGGGGGGTACGTTCCCCTGTACAAAGTATTTCTGGGTGTCTGTGACTGACGCAAAAGAATGGGGATGGTTAGAGTAGAAGCCTGTGAGGGTCAGATAATGTTAAGTTCTGAGTGAAAAAAAAAAGAGCTTTGGGGGCTGCAGAGATGGCTCAGCAGTGAAGGACACTGACTTGATTTGATAGGTTTGATTACCGCCATTCACGTGGCTGATGCCCTCTTCTGGTCACCATGGGCACCAGAAACACACATGATGATATATCCCCAAATGCAGGCAAAACACTCACACATAAAATTTTATATACGGTGAAAGAGTTTTTCCTTGCATTCTAAATGGAAAGCAATAACTAGCAAAGTGCTCTAATGCTTTCAACCCACCAGACAAATTTTAAGGAACACAGCAGCCATTTCTTTTCATTTTAAAGTAATCAATTACCAGGCCCACCCCTTCAAATAGACCCTCTGGAACCACGCTTAGAGGGAAAGCTGTGTTCAGAGCCCTGCCCTCCCTTGCCATTCTCTTGCTCCCTTTACAGAGAAA